TGGCACTATTCCTGAAGACAATGACGACATAAAGATCAAAGCCAAAGGCCTTGCAATCTCCTCTCTAGCTTCCCAGAGAATCCTAGGATAAATCCCATCCGGCCCAGGGGACTTATCTATTTTCACACCTTCCAGAATTGCTAACACCTCCTCCTTATGAACCTCAATCCCGTCTAGTCTAATAGACTGTATCTCAGTATTCTCCTCGACTACATTGTCTTTTTGCTATACATTACTTCCGGGATCTTCCGATCCTGGTTTTCACAGAAATCTGCAGCATAGTGTCCACTGGGGATCTCTGTTGGAGAGGAGTAGAGTCAGGGGAAAAAAGACACACCCCCTTTTTACGGCATTACTTGCCGTATGGTAGGTTAAAAGTTTAGCCTTTGAACGTTTAGTGAATTGGTGGGTGTGGGTCATGATTGTGAGACGTGGTTGGGTCGATTGGTTGGGGGCAATGGTGTGGTCGTTCTATTTATTGACTCATGGGACGTGGGCATCTCTGGCTGAGCCAATATTTATTGCCTGTCCCTCGTTGCACTTGAGAAGATCATAGCCGCCTTCTTTAACGACTGCTGTAGTTAGGTTGGGAGGAGTGTCATAGTTGGGTGGTCAGGTGGTATCGGGGAAGTGGAGTAGATAAATAGGGATTCATTTATAGAGTTGTTAGGTATGTCCAAATCTAAGTCTAAGTTGGTGAGATTTACAGAGGTCGCAGTGAATGAGAAAATTGCCCATTAAAAGTTGAGACTGCCTAGGTCAGTTCCCAGAAGGCCTGCAAGTGGGATTTCCACTGGGCTCCACTAGTCACCTTGAGGCTCTGACTTTCCAGAACCTCGAAGATTTGGCCCATGACTATGCCAGCAATAACAGTTCTGATAAAGAGTCATTCACTTAAAATATTAAACCTGTTTCTCTTGAAGCAGTTTCTCTCAGAACTCCTGTGTATTCTCAGCATTTTCTGTTTTTATTAAACTAATGTGTTCAAGAACTTTTTTTTTAATATGTAGATGTGCCTACTAGAGAAGGAGCAAAACTTGATCTCCTGTTGGGAAATAAAGCAGGGCGAGTGACTGAAGTGTTAGTGGGGGGGCCTTTGGGACCAGTGATCATAATTTTATTAATTTTACAATTGTTATGGAAAAGGATACATTTTGTATAAAAGTTAAAGTTCTAGGTTGGAGTAAGGCCAATTTTCACAATATGAGACAGGAACTTGCAAAAGTTGATTGGGGTAGACTGTTCACAGGTAAAGGGATGACTGGTAAGTGGAAGACTTTCAAAAGCGAGATAACAAGAGTTCAGAGGCAGTATGCTCCTGTTAGAGTGTGAGGCAGTATGCTCCTGTTAGAGTAAAGTTAAGGCTGGTAGGAGTAGGGAATAATGGATGAATAGAGATATTGAGGCCCTGGTCAAGAATAAGAAGTAATCGTATATTAGATATAGGCAAATGAATCAAATGAATCTCTTGAAGAGTGTAAAGAGTTTAGGGGCATTCTTAAGAGGGAAATCAGGAGGGCAAAGAGGAGATAACCTTATCTGCCAAGGCTAAGTATAATCCAAAGAGATTCTACAAGTATATTAAGAGCAAACGAGCAACGTGAGAGAAAAGGGTCTTTTAAAGATCTATGAGGTCGTCTATGTCTTGAACCTCAGGTGATGAGAGTAATACTAAATGAATATTTCACATCAGTTTTCACTGTGGAGAAAGAAATGGAAGCTAGAGAACTCGGGGAAATAAATTTTGATGTTTTGAAAACAGTTCACATTGATGAAGAGGATGTGCTGGAGGCCTTAGAAATCCTAAAGGTGGGTAAATCTTCGGACCTGATCAAGTGCATCCCAGGACGTTGTGGGCGGTTAGGGATGAAATTGCGGGCCCTAGCAGAAGTACTTGTATAGTCTAAAACCATGGGTAAGGTGCCGGAGGACTGGAAGATGGCTAATGTTGTGCCTTTATTTAAGAAACACTTGAAACTATAGACCTGTGAGCCTGACCTCGGTGGTGGGTAAGCTATTGGAGGTGATTCTGAAAGATAGGATTTACATATATTTGGAGAGGCAAGGACTGATCAGGGATAGTCAGCATGGTTTTGTGCAAGGGAAATCATGTCACACAAATTTGATTGAGATTTTTAGTTTTGCTATAACGTGCTGTAACGAGATTCATGAATAGTGGATGTTGTTTGGATAACGCAAACTTCCTGCTGTACAAATATAGCGATTTTCTATAGTGAATTCCCTGTAACGCAATTTTCTATAGCACGAGGTCTCACAAGAACACAACTATTGCGTTATAGGAGAACTACCTGTAACCAAAATGATTGATGAGGGCGGAGTAGTAGATATTTTCATGGATTTTAGTAAAGCCTTTGACAAGGTTCTGCATGGTAAGACTAATTAGTAAAGTTAGATCAGTCGGGATTCAGGGTGAGCTTGCCAATTGGATACAAAATTGGCAGACAGAAGGTGGTGGTAGAGAGTTTTTGGGCTGGAGGCTTGTGACCATCGGTGTTGATCTTGATCAGTTGGGTCAGTGGGCTAAGGAGTGGCCGATGGAGTTTAATTTCGATAAATGTGAGGTATTGCATTTCAGTAAAATAAACAAGGACAGGACTTGTGCAATTAATGGTAGGGCCCTGGGTCATGTTGTAGAATAGAGAGACCTGCGGGTTCAGGAACATAATTTGCGTCACAGGTAGACAGACAGGGTGGTTAAGAAACCGTTTAGCATGCTTGCCTTCATTGTTCAGATCTTTTGAGTTGAGGAGTTGGGAGGTTATTCATTGGTAGGGCCTCTTCTGGAGTACTGTGTGCAGTTCTGGTCACCCTGCTATGGGAAGGATATTATTAAATTGTAGCAGGTTCAGAAAAGATTTACCAGGATGTTGCCCGGAATGGAAGGTTTGAGTTATAAAAATAGGCTGGATAGGCTGGGATTTTTTCACTGGAGCGTAGGAGGTTGAGGGATGACCTGAGAGATGTTAATAAAATCGTGAAGTGCATAGATAAGGTAAATAGCAAGGGTCTTTTCCCTAGGGTTGGAGAGTTTAAAACTAGGGGGCATATTTTTGAGGTGAGAGGAGAAAGTTTTAAAAAGGTCATGAAGGGCAATTTTTACACACACAGGGTGGTTCGTATATGGAATGAACTACCAGAGGAAGTGTTAGTTGCTTGTACAGTTGCAACATTTAAAAGACATTTGAACAGGTACATGAATAAGAACGGTTGAGAAGGATGTGGGCCAAACACAAGCAAATGGGACTAGTTTAATTAGGGAAACTTGGTCGGCGTGGACAGATTATTGTGAAGAGCCTGTTTCTACATTGTATGACCCTACAATATTTTAAGTTCACTTGTACTTCTATGTTCTCGAGACATAGATATCAACATTTTTCAGAGCATTGGATAGTGAAAGGACATTGGGCTTGAAGGAGTCAGATTGGGATCTTCAAAATAAAGCATGTTTTGTGGAATGGATCTTATTGAGGCTTTTGAAAGCGGGAAAGAAGCTGATAAAGGTGAGTTATTGAGGGAGGGGGTTCCACATGGCTGCGTTATGGTACGGGAAGAGAGGTAAGTTGAACTTTTTCCTATTGAGGTATCTTTCATCCATAAGAAGGTTATTTTTCCTTTTTGAAACAGGCATGACGTTCACTTGAGCCCTCTGTCATGAAGTTCTGCAACAAACTGTCTTCAGGGTTAAGTCAGAAGTTTTGTTGATTAATGTATTCAAACACAGGGAATGATTGTCACAACAATATTTGCACACCAGCATATATGGAAGAAAATAGAAATGAAAGATTTTACAATTAAGAACAATTTTTACAAAAATGAAGTTGGCAAAGGTGCAATGATATGAACCAAAAGAACTGCGGATGCTGTAAATCAGGAACAAAAACAAAGTTGCTGGAAAAGCTCAGCAGGTCTGGCAGCATCTGTGAAGGAGAAAACAGAGTTAACGTTTTGCGTCCGGTGACCCTTCCTCAGAACTTCCTCAGAACCTCCTCAGGACCTGTGTTCTGCGGAAGGGTCACCGGACCCGAAACGTTAACACTGTTTTCTCCTTCACAGATGCTGCCAGACCTGCTGAGCTTTTCCAGCAACTTTGTTTTTGTGCAATAATATGAACTTGGGCATATAGAGACTTGGTCCACTTTTCAGTCAAATACAAGATCTCTTTCAAAACTAGATTTTGAGGAAGCTTAGATACTTGGAGTCTGGCTATGGCGTTAACAGTGGATTACATATTTGGCAGACTGATTCTTACCAGACTGAGGCAAGGGTTCTGAAATGTGTAATTAAAGCTGTTTCGGTCATGTGCTGATAAAGGAGAAGTCCCTTTGGTTAACAGGGCAGTTTCTGTGCCCTTGAACAAGACCATTGCACATTATATAAACTAGATGGTGAGCTATTAATGCTTTTTCAGGACTAAAATCAGCTTTGATAGCTCTCTTTGTTTACCAAATTGGGCAGGCATAATATTTACTGCTCCTCTGTGTTTGCTGTCTTGGATACATTAAAAATGCTTCCTCATGCCCATGCTAATGATTTGCTAGATGCTATATTGTTTTGTATATTTCAGTAATCTTTTTTCCCACAGTTTGGAGAAAAGTAAAACGCTTTGCCGAGTATCTCAGTTTTATTTGTCATTGAGATTGTTCTGATGCAATGTTTTGTCAAGATTCCATGTCAGTTGATTGTTAGTTATGTTTCAACCTATTAATTATCCTTAGCAAAAACATCACTAACTATTGAAAATGGATAAATCAGTGCAAGTATATTTCGATGTCATATCCTCATTTTTATCTGGAAAAATAATATGTAAACCTTGTTTTATTTTACTTGGCTAAGCATATCAGTCTTCTAACATGATACGTACTTTTCAAACAGAATGTACATTTAGATTTGATTTCATTCCAGAGATGTTAAGAAATTCCCTACGTTGAAAAATAAGAATTTGTTATCTTAATATATTTATTGAATTTTATTTTCTTAAGATTATGTCCAGTGCCCATACTGCCAGAGAAGATTTAATGAGAATGCTGCAGACAGACACATTTCTTTCTGCAAAGAACAAGCTGCTCGCATTACCAAGCCGAAACATGCTAGTAGCAAAGGGAAACAAAGCACTCCAGCACAGGTAAAGCACACAGTTGTCTTATTTACAGGTGTTACTTTGTGTCATGGTAGATCTTAACAACACGGAAAATGCTTATTTGGACAGCACATACATAGATGCCAAGTACCCATATTTTGCAGACAGTACTCACTGTTCATTGCACTTGCATATTTGGACTATCTGTATGTCAAACTGCAGAAGTGACCTGCATAAACAACAGTAAATGATCCCAGGACCAACGAGGCAGATTTCAGCATGCAGTCCTGCCACATCAATCATGAATGATGATGAACAATTAATTAACTGGAGGAGGATGTTCCACAAATATTCCCATCCTCAACAGTGGGGGAGCTCAGCATATCAGTGCAGAAGCATTTGCAACCAGCTTCACTTTCAGGTGCCAAGTAGATTATTTATCTCTGCTTTCCCTTGAAGTTCCCAGCAACACAGATTCCAGTCTCCAGCCAATTCGATTCATTTTGCATGCTTTCAAGAAATGACTGTAGGCCTTGGATACTCCAAAGGGTATGTGTCCTGACAAAGTTCCAATAATGCCGAAGACTTGTCCTCTGTCACCTGCAGAAGTAGCTACACCATAGCCAAGATATTCCAGTATACCACTATAATGCGAGCATCTACTCCAAAATATCTTCTGAACAAAAACAGGACAAATTTAACCTGGCCAGTTACTGCTCTATAAGTCAACTTGTAATCGTCATCAAAATGGAAGGTATAATTGACAGAGCTATCACGAGGCAGTAACTAGCTCACTGATTTTCAATTCGCGCTTAGCCAGGGCAACTGACCTCCAATTGTGACCTCATTACAGACTTGGCCCAAGTATAAACAAACGAGTTGAACATAAGAGATGAGGTGAGACTGGCTGCACTTAACATCAAGGCAACATATGATGGAAGTGTAGTATTAGAGGTCCCTAGCAAAATTAGAGCCAATGGAATCAGCAAAAACTCTCCACTAGTTGTAATTGTACCAAGAACAAAGGAAGATGGTTGTGCATGTTAGAGGTAGTTATCTCAGGCTCAGGACATCACTGCAGGAGTCTGCGTTGGTCCTGTAATATTTTGACCAATGTCTCCAATACCTCTACAGGCACTTCCTTTGAAATTCTTGGCTGTCAATCAGTCAGAGATTGGCAACTTCAGTTCCATTAGTTTGTCAAGTACTTTATCCCTTGCGTAGAGACTGTTACACAAGACCTTTCATTCCATTAGCATCTGGTATCTTTGGGATGTTTACAGTGTCCTCCCCAGTGAAGACGAATATTAAATGTTGGTTTATGTTATCTACCATTTCCCTGCTTCCCACTATCAATTCCCTAGCCACGTTCTCCAAGGGTCCCACACTCGCTTTAATGTAATTTATTATATTGTTGCAACCCCCTTTGGAAAGTGCAGATGCTCAAGCCCCATTACTCCCAGGATTGCCACAAAAGTTAATGATTTAATCAAAGCACACAAAGTCCCCGATTTACCCCTCTGTTGGAATCAAATTAATAGAAAACACTGATTAGGTTCCTGTGCTTAGCAGAACTACTGTTTATTATAAAAGTAACTCCCAATCACAAATAAACAGCTATGAAATATCAATTTATGGCATTGATAATTAAAATTCTAACACCGTTTAAACCCTCCATACATACAAAACAAAAATTGATGTTGTGGGTGGAGGGATTGTGAAAAAAATGTACTGGGAAACACCGTTCAATAGTATCAGACGACAGGGCCTGTTGAAACATTACTTTTGCTTGCCAGGACTTCCTGTTCTTCGTCTCTTTTTTCCACATTCTTTCACATCTTTGCAGGAGGCAAAGGCTGATTGGTACACTATGAATGAAGTCTGTTAGCTACAGGTTAAAAGCCACAGATTATAGCCACTGGTAGGAGAAAATAACTGGTGTTTTAATGGCAGAGAGAGAGAGACAGACAGACAGACACACACATGCACACCCAGACCCAAACAATCTATTCTTACTACTTACTTCTCCTAGTCTGCTTTGCAGTGGTGCTGACTTGCTGTACACTCCTCCCAGTACTATTGATGTGAAAAGTATAGAAGTTGACAGGGCAAGTTGAATATGTTAAAAAAATTTATACAAGATTCTTCATTGTAAAAATTAAAGGCATTTAATACACCAGCAAGGACGCTTTGCTGAACGTTTATTCTCGGTTGCTGGACCCAAGCTAGTATATTGGATTCAGCTCTGAGCACCTCATCTTAGGAAGGATGTCAAGCCTTGGGGAAAGTGTTGAAGAATCCTACAGGGAGTAAAATACTTCAGTTACATGGTGAGATCAGAAAAAATTGGGAGGTGCTCCTTTACAGCAGAGGTTAAAGGAAGATTTAATAGAGGTATTTAGCGTCTTGAAGCCTTTGATAGAGTGAGAGAAAAGTTGCTGCGGTGGATGAAAGATCAGTAACCAGAGACAATTGGTGAAAGAATCATAATTTTTATGCAGCAAGTTATCTAAAATGTGTTCCCTGAAAGGGTGCAAGAAGTAGATTTGGTAATATACAACAAATTTTGTTTTAACCGCCACCTCGTAAACCGACAATAAACAGGCAAAAATTATAAACCTGAAATAGCGCAAGTAGACTGTATTATTGCAATCTCCATGATGGCATAATAGTCAGTTGAGTGTGTGAGTGAGAAGGGTCTCTGCCAGTAAGTTTTATTTAAGGCAAAGTTGCATTATTATTGAAGTGGTTTATGCTGTAAATAAAGCATAACAGTGATGCGCATACACCCTGCATTGCGTTTCTATTACTTGTGTGTGGTGGCTCATTGGTTATCACTGCTGATTCAGAGCGGCAGGAACCAAAGTTCAATTCCACCCTTGGGCGACTGTCTGTGTGGAGTTTGTACATTCTCCCCGTGTCTGCGTGGGTTTCCTCTGGGTACTCCGGTTTCCTCCCATAATCCAAAGATGTGCAGTCTAGGTGAATTGGCCATATTAAATTGCCCATAGTGTTCAGGGATGTGTAGATTAGGTGGGTTATAGGGGGGAATGGGTCTGGGTGGGATTTAATAGCGTTGAGGGTTGGTGTGGACTTGTTGGGCCGAAGGGCCTGTTTCCACACTGTAGGGATTCTATGATCTACGATCAGTTACGTGAACCTCTTGATTGACCGACATGTTTGATGAACTGGTACACACCTGGTCCCATAGGTGCCAGTTAATAAAAAAATTTGCTATACTTCAAAATGGGATTGACTCATTACATGAAAAGTAACTTGTAGGAATGTGTATTTGATACAGACATGATTATCCAATTGGCTGCCTTCTATGCTTTACCATTATATGGTTTGTGAATAACTTTATTCTTTGGTGTGTCTTTATTAATGTATAGCATCGGTCTCCAGTGTTTAAGAAGACTAACTCACCAGTCTCAACACCTGGTGCATCAACACGGATTCCCCAGCCTTCTGTGGGTGGGAAAAGTGGTATGTGGATTTTCTTTTCATTTTGTGTATGTAATTCTTTCCAACAAGCGCTTTTACTTTATTTTTGCATCGGGGAAGGAATGTTATAATCAGTCCCCAGATAAGGGTCTCCAATTTTTTGTGATTTCAGGTGGAAAACACAAAAATGGTTGTGCTTTTGGGTGAAGAGAGATGAACTGACTCCCCTTCTTAATTCACATTGTCTTTCGGTTGGTGGCAACAAGATTAATTTAAAAAGATTCCTTCTGAATAAAAGAAGGAGTGAATTTGCTGGCTACTAAATATGACACAAGATGAGTAAAATGTGAAATACATACACTGGATAAAAAATGTGAATTGAGTTAAAAGGTAACAGTTAAAAGGATAGATGAATCAGTCTCTGGGCTCCTTTAATGAGTAGATAGAACATTGCATCCATTAAGTTAGATGATGCTGATATTGCTGGCATTACTTGTTAATTTTGAAATTCTTTGCTCTGCAAGGTAGCTGACAGGCTTTTGTCCTGATTGTTTTTTGATGGTTACTTCACTGGCTTGCTTAGTTTTCACAACTCCGTGAGAGAGTATCTTTCTTTACCTGCAGTACAAGGGCATCTTACTGGCTATCCATAAGCTGTGAATTTCACAGCACACTAAATTACACTAGCACATCAGCCAACTAACACACAAACCAGGCGTTGCAGTTAGTTTTAACCCCTTTATATATTCCTGGAATGGTAAAGCACAAACATGTCTGCAGTTCAAGACACGAACCAGCTGTATGTTCTCTTTTAAAAATCATGTTGTTATAACTACAAGATTAATACGTCCATAAGTAATCTGGGCTTATGATCCATTGTCATGACAGAAATTGAGTGCTTTAATGACACTGAAGCAAGCTCAGGCCATGGAATGCTAATAGTCTGTACACCTTAGCCGTTGCCAATTTTTATCTAAAGTCTCTAGATTTGGATACAGAGGCTTCAACATGCGACAAACTCTTCCTCTGTGAATAACATGATTGAAATCAAGTAATTTAGTACAGGTTAAAACAATGTCACGAAAGTTTCTGGTTGAAAGTGTGATTTTGCTTCCTTAGAATGGAAACGATATCAGTGAGTTGTGAAAGTAATAACCAATTTGTCAATTATGATTATCTTCAAGTGAATTGAATTTTTTCTGCACATTGATTTTTATAAACTGTTTATGCCTTGATTGTAAACTTGGGACATCCCCTTTGCTTCTGAAGCCCGTGTGATATCAAATTCCAATTGATCGGGAATCATCAGTTGTTTGTGTATACCTGCTCTACAATAATTAATCATTCATAGTTGTACTTACTATATTAACTGTTACCTTTATACAAATCTTGCTGAATGTACATTCTAGTGTATGTACCAAAAGTTGAGGTACATGCACAGAAATTTTAAAGAATGCTCTGGTTTTCTTTGACTTCAGTTTGCAAATAGTAATGGTTGAATCATAACCATTTATAGGACATTTTAATCGTACTTGGAATAATGATGTGCTGTTGTAATGTACTAATTGTAAAATTATTTTGCTGTGATTTAGATGTGAGTTCTTCAATCTACAATCATTCAGCCATTTCTTCTAGTACATTCTCTGAAAAAAGTTATTTGTGGTCATTTTCTCTTAATGGTGCTGCAATTCTGAAAATGATGGCTTTTCAGCTAAGCTATATGTAAGTTTCATGTCAAAGATTGACAGTTATACCAGTCTCCTATGAGATATTCTACATACATTATGAAAATGTCATCTTCAGTCTGAATCTTGTACTACTGTAAGGAAAGCGTTGTTGTCCTTCAGTGTAAGTCATTGATTATAAGCCCTTGACTTGATTGAAATTGTAATAATTTAATAAAAGCCCACATTCAATTTTCTGTCGACAGGATTTTCTACCACCAAAAGTAACCTAACAGCAACCTATGAAAATAAACTTCGAGATGGATCACCAGCAAAACGGAGTTCATCTGGTGTTGGTAATATAGCTGGAGCATTAGTTCAACCAACTGGGTGAGGATGAATAAAGATTCATATGTACCAATGTAGAATAGTCTCTGAATTTGTTGATTCTTTTTAATTGAATACAAATGGGATGAGACAGTGACTGTATCATTACCCTTTTGCTTTGGGATTGTAGGTTCGAATTTGGCAGACTTATGAGATGAAACCTACCATCTCTTCTAAATATAAGATTCTTAAGTGAATCTGGGCTAGTGCAGTTCAGTTTTCAATGGACATGTCAACACAACACACAGTACAAATACGATAATGGTGCATTAACTATGGTTGGAACATAGAAAAACAAATTATTGTTGTCTTGTCTAATTTTTGCACTGACCTTGGATAGGTTGATGTTTAGTAAAATAAAATGTGCACGTTCCACTCCTTGAGGAGCATAAAATGTCATTTTCTGACCCAGATTATCCTTTTGATAATTTGCCCAATGTTGCACTTTAGTAAGTTGCTTCATATTTTTCCTAGAGCTCTGGGTCAGCCATGTTGCTAATGTACAAAGGATAATTTACACCATTTCTAAGCAATTGTCTATGAGTTCTAGTTAGTTCGATATTTGTGGAATTGCTCAAATTCTCCCTGTGTTTTGAGAGAAATTTAATTTTTTTTCTAAAAGAATTACAGATGTTCATCGTTCTCTGCTTAGATTCTTTGTAGTCTCTAGGACTCAATATTGAATTTCACATCATCAGAGCCTGAGTGCATGGTCTAGGCCCGAAACGTCAGCCTTTCTGCTCCTATGATGCTGCTTGGCCTGCTGTGTTCATCCAGCCCTGTACCTTGTTGTCTCGGATTCTCCAGCATCTGCAGTTCCTACTATCTCTGAGTGCATAATGTCTGTTTTCCATTTTTCGTGCATGCTCTCCTCCTGATGCCCCACAGCCTTGCCTTCTGCTCATGCCCTACAGCCTTGACTTGTTGTGTCTTATTCACTTTGCTCTCAGTAGAGATGACCCATTCTCTCATTGAATTGAAAAGGCCATAAATTAAACATGCATTGAAAACTAAATAGTATTTCAATTTAAGAAAAATTATTTTAAGAACCAAAACGGATAATTCTATTTCCGAGCCAAGTAAATAAATCATACCATGTGAAATCCCAAAGGTTTTTACAACTCTTGCTCCCATACTTCGGGTTCTTCATGTTTTCTAATCACTACATTTGGCCCATGAGGTATTCTCAGTGGCAGCTCCATTCCATCAGCAGTCCCCAGATACAATTAAAACCAACATGGTGCACTTCAACAAACCCTCTGTGCCTCTTGTCACAATTTTTCAAAACAATGTACTTCTCCAGAGTTACTTTTCGATTGGTATTATAGCTGGCAATCTCTTGGTTAAGGCATAACCTCTTCAGCTTAGCTTCATTTTTGTTCAAAATGAAAACATATGGGATAGAGTTTCCACTTTAAGTGTAATCTGTGCACAACTTTCACCAGTTGTCAAATTTATTTTGTTTCAAAGTTTCAACTAATTTGTTTGTATAAAACTCTGGAATTGAAAGTAATCTCTGTAATGATAACCATGAAACAATCTTTGATTATGACAAAGCTAATCTAGTTCACTAATGTCCTTTAGAGAAGGAAATCTGCTAATCTTACCTGGTCTGGCTTACGTGTGACTCCAGGCCCAGAGCAATGTGAATGATTCTTAACTCTGCTCTGAAACGGCCCAGTGAGCCACTCAGTTGTACCAAGCGGCTGGAGAAAACTCAAAAGAAATAAGAAGATTGATCGAATTGGGAACCAAAAATGACACTGGCAAACTGTATCTATTGGATTCTCCTAGTCCTCCTTACTAACATCTGCAAGCTCGGGCCAAAATTAAGAAAAGTATCCACAAATAGTAGAGCAACAGTCTGATATTAACGCTCACCAAATGCCTTCGCCACAGACATCCCTTCACTATCCCTTGAAAGCCGATCACCCATAAGACACTGTGAGTCATAAGCAGCAGCAGAATCATACTCAACCACAAACTGCAGCATATCTATCACACTATCAGTACCATCAAGCGAAGGAATCAGCCTGGTTAAAGGTGAGTGTCAGACGGCATGCTAGGAGCTGCACCAGGCATCCCTAGAAATGAGGTGTCAATCTGTTGATGGTACAATACAGCACTACTCAAAACTAAACAGTGTAAAAAGCATGCAATAGATAAAGCTAAGGGATTCCACAGCAAACAGATCAAATCTAAGCTTTGCAGTCCTGCACATCCTGTCATAATTGATGGTGAACAATGAAACAACGAAGAAGAGGAGATTCCACAAATATGCCCATCCTTAATGTGGAAGCCCAACACCGTGCAAAAGACAAGCCTGAACTATTTGCAACCATCTTCAGCTCGAAGTGACAAGTGATCCATCTGGGCTTTCTCATGAGGACTGTGGCGTCACATGCTGACCTTCAGCCAATTCATCCCAGGCGATATAAAGAGAAAAACTGATGGTCTGGATACTGCAAATGATATGGACTATAACAAAATACCAGCAATATATCTGACGAACGTGAACTCCAGAACTAGCCAACCCCTCCCTAGCCCAAGCTCTTTGGTGCAGCTACAACAATAGTATCTACCTGGCAATGTGAAAAATTTTCCAGGTATGTCGCATCCACAAAAAGCAGGACCAGATCCAAACTGGACAATTACGGGCATGTCAGTCTCCTCTCGATCAAAGTGGTAAAACATGTCATTGACAGTGCTATCAACTTCCTCAGCAATGACCTTCTCACTGACATTCAGTCTGGGTTCCACCAAGAACACCTTGCTTCTGATCTCATTACAACCTTGGTCTGAACACAGACTAGATAGTTGAACTTGAAGAGAGGTGAAGTGATTGCCTTTCACATCAACACAGTATTTACAGGAACAGGAACAGGAATAGGCCATTCAGCCTCTCAAGCCTGTCCCACCATTCAGTGAGATCCGTGCTGATATGTGGCCTAACTCTATACACCTTTGACCCATATCCTTAATACATGTGCTTAACAAAAAATTGTCGATCTTCAATTTAAAATTAACAACTGACCCTGCATTCACTGCTGTTTGTGGAGGAGTTCCAAAAATCTGCCACCTGTAGAAGTGTTTCTTAACTTCTCTCCTGAATTCCCTGGCCCTAATTCTCAGATTATGCCCTTTTATTCTAGAATCCCCAACCAGTAGAAATAACATGTTTATGCATTTTGTCTGTCCCTGTTAATATTTAAAATCTTCAATCAGATCACCACTTAACCTTGTAAATTCTAGAGAAAAAAGGCCTGATTTGCATAATCTCTCCTCAGAACTTAAGCCCTGAAATCCAGGTATCATTCCTGCAAACCTATGTTGTATTCTGTATAAGGCCAGTATGTCCTTCCTAAGCTGTGGTGCCCAGATCTACTCTCAGTACTCCAAGTGGGGGCTAACCGGGATTTTGTATAACTGACAGACTTCGGCAGTGAGCAGCACCAGCAAAAGTGAGGTTAGTGGGAACTGCAAGATGAGGGGATGCAGGCTGGTGATCCAGTTGGAGTCATACTTGGCACAAATGAAGATGGCTGTGATTGAATCCATATCCCCGGTTCCTGGGGTTCTGGATTACTAGTCCAGTGACATTATCACTACGTCATTGCCTCCCACAAATGGATTGAAAGTGGTTTTATTCAAAGCCTGATCTGCTGTTGGTGTAAATCAATTTTAAATCACAGAAATTGACTTTAAAATAAACTATACCAAAATACTTACTAGTTTCATTAATATGCAGTGGTCAGCTTTTTTATTTCTACTGTTAAAATAAGCTTAATTTTAAGAGCTGCCACAAAAGCTCTTAAAGGAGACCCATCATTTTGATAAATTCAATCTGGCATCATGGTTAGTTTTTTTTTAAAAAACAGTTCAAAAAGATTTACACTAGAAAATCTAGCACAATCTGGTAGAAGCTTACAATACGTTATGATTGAAAAATGAATGGTTGATTTAACTAAATTTTAATGTTCTGGAGGTTGAACAAATGGATACCTTATGAGCATAGTTGACTCTTCATAATGCAAATATTCGAGCACTAAAATACAGTACAAGAGGTCCTAGATTAACATGGTTTCTAGTGTACTACCCATTATATCAATAACACGTGCCTAATGCACGACAGCGCAGTTCTTAACTCGATTATCAATACAGCAGAGGAATAAATGAGAAATGCTAAAACTCAGCATTCCCAGGCAAGTTCCTGTTTGTTCAGCTGTTTTTGACCATTGCCTAAATAAAAACCGAAAGAACTGTGGATGCTATAAAACAGAGATTGCTAGAATAGCTCAGCAGGTCTGGCAGCATCTGTGGAAATTGCCTGTCTTGATAAGACTGGATAAGTTCTTAAAAACTGTCCACAGCCGTGCACTTCCAGATGTATGAGACAAGAAATGTTTTATATTAATCATGTGCTTATTTTCTAACTTGTTTGATGCTCTGGGAACATAATCTGAACACTTATATTGGTTCCTAGGAGACTGGGTGTTTCACATAATGTGGTTTTGCTTAATGCAGTGGTTTTCAAGAATGTAACTGCCACATTAATAGAGGAGTACCTGTGTCTTACAGTATTTCAATTTTATAAAAGTTGATGCCTTGAAATAAAAACTTAATTTTCTAACTAATCTTTTTATTATTATGATAAGCAACAATTTAGACATGGGAAATTTGCTACTGAATCATTAAAATAAAATTTAGTAGTTTACTTTGTTTTCTTTTAAAGGTTGTTTCTAAATATTCATAATCAATATGTCATTGGTGTAATTTTGAATTAATCAACAATGTCAAAAGCATTATTTTCATTCGCTGTTTTAAGCTTTTGAGATAAATAATGTTAGTACTGGGAAATAAAACACTTCCATTCCAGGTGCCCAACGTGAACAAGATGAACTCCAAAATTACTTCCAAAGACTTTATCGAACAAATGCCACCACTCTGAGGAGAATCTTTGGTTGTGGCAACTCTTTCTTTGATATCAATTCTCCTAATTCTCTTCCCCTCTTCGTGCTGCTTTTATTATCTATACTTGCCAACTAAATACGCATCTTTCTATAAAATATTTCTGTTAGTTCTGCAAGTGTAGCATTCCACATTATGTTTTTTCTCCATTATATTTTGAATGGTTTACTTCCAATTTTTATATTGTTACTTTGTTTGCGTTTCCCCTACTAAAGTGAAGAATTCTATCCTATTTACCTCCAACTAGGAAAAGTTAGAAATATAATAGATCTTTTACAACCAAAGTTTTTATAATTAGCGTGTTGTGGTGCAACTGGCATTTGGGATTCTGGTTGGCAATCTGTGAACACAAACCTATTTTGTCAATCTCTGCTCCTGAGTTGCCTTTGTATAAATAAGCTAAGATGCTGGATTTACTGTGCTTTGTATAACTATGCTGAAAATATTTGATGCAAAAATTGTCATAGTAATTTTAATAAAATTTTGAGAAAAATCATATTACAGTTAACTTTAATCCATAAATTTTTGTGAATTCACCTTTTTGATACATGCACTTCATTTTCAGAGGTTTACCCAGTAACACCAGATCTCGAACACAAACACCACCAAGTGGAATGAGAAACGTTGCTGGAACAAGCTCAGTGAACAAAAAGACCTACAATGCGGAAAACTACATAAGGTGATATAGTGTTTAATATTCTTTAACTGGAACAGAAGGAAACTGTTCTGTTTAAGCTATTTTAATGTCAATTTTATATATAAGGATTTACTTTTAGTTGATGATTTTTATTTGGAATTCAGTTTGAAGTTTACAGTGTTTAATTCTTCTCCATGTATTCTTGAATATATTGACAAGATGAAGAAAAGAAAGTGTTTATCTTTTCTTTATAGTTTATATACTCAGTAATGCTCTAGTGTGTTGCAGCTGAACATTTGTAAGATTTTGTTTTCCATTTGTTGAATTGTGAGGCATGAACTGCTCTAATAAGGTAGGCATTTATTTCTTGACAAGTTATCCTGGGAGGGTGGTGCTGAATCCTTTTCAATTGTTGTTGCCCCATTGTGTTACCACATGATTTTAAGCATTGATGTTAGGTGGGGAAATCCAGAATTTGTACCCAGCATCAGTTTTAAAAAAAAAGGAACACCATATGTGCACCATATGTTCAAGTCAGCTTGGTTTGGAGGTAATGTTTTGTCAAGTATAACATTTTAAGAATTGGTTTATGTTTATTTTAAAACTTGCATTGCAGATTTGGTACAGTGAACAATCTCACTGGCAGAGCCTGGAGATGATGAACCAAACTCCCAGCTATAGGCAAATAACTCCAATGTCTGGTGAATGTATTTGGAGAAATAAAGCCTAAGGAAGTAAACTCTTGATGAAAAAATAACCAGGGAGAGCCCAAAGGGAGATTGACATCTAAATATGTCAACTTTCCAGCAACTCCTGTAACCAAACTAGTGCAAAATACTTCTGATATCGTGTGCTCACCTAGGAAGGTCAAGAGGGGCACCCTAAGGTTGGGAAGCTCAGGGCCTCCATAACTTCTGCTCAGGCTTGCACAACAGAGAGAGCATTCCAATTTCACTGTAAATCAGTAACGCAATTATGGGAGACATCAGTTATGAACTATAAGTCTAACTCAATTGTTGTGAGGAGCAGGCGCAACGTATTGTCTGAGGGTGGGAGGGACCATATTCTCCCCAAGTTCAGCTATGTTAGAGCAATTTCAGAACTGCCTGAGATTAGCATTGGCATCAAACAGGATTGTGTTCTGGCAGCAACACTCTTTTTGCTGTATTCTTCTATCTGCTGCTGTCATATGCCTTCAGGTCATCTACAGAGTATGTCTGCCTATGTACCAGAGCTGATGGAAAGCTTTTCAGTCTTGCTTGTCTAAGATCCAAGACACAAGTACACTTGGTTGTCATCCAAGAGTAGATGTAGGCTGATAGTGCTGTGCTAGCATGTCATTAAGAGGAATAATTTCAGCATGAGACTGACTCATGCCTGTAAAGAACTTGATTTGCCATCAACCTTGGATAATGAAATGGCTACATCCTAGACAATGAATGGACACTGGTTAGCTTCACATACGTAGACACCACAATCACCAGCAAAATGCCACTTGATGCTAAAATAAACTCCAAGCTGAATTTTGTGAAATAACATCAACCTAATTGAAAACACCTAACTGTGAGCTGCCAAGCCTGTGTCCTCAATGCACTCATCTACACTGGTGACACCTGGACAACATATGCTAGGCAAGAGAAAAGGCTGGCCATTTTCCACTTTCACTGTCTCATGTGAACATGAGCAGGCATATGCTGTTTAATTCCTCAAATTGTTCCACCAAATTTTATAAGATCTTGTTTAATCTCATTGTAACCTGAATTCCACATTCCTACCTACCTACAACCTTTTACTCCCTTGCTTGCCAAAAATGTATCCAACTCTGCCTTATAAATATTCAAACTCTGGTTTCCTCAACTTCTTGACAAAATGTATCCCAAAGAGCCGTGACCTTTTAAGCAAATAAAGAATTTGCCTCATCTGTCCCAAGTGCGTAACACCTTATTTTTAAACATGACTACTCGTTCTGGATTCTCCCAAAAGAAAAAACATCCTTTCCACATCCAAACATTTTCACATCCCTGGAGTAATACTTGCCTCTGAGGGAGAAGGTTGTGTGGAGATGGGTGCTCTTTGTCAAGCAATACCAAAGATTATTCTGATCATTAAGGATGAATCGAGAGTCGTGCAAACTGTTTCCTCTTCAAGTCTAGATGCAAGGGCCTTCTACATGGTGGCCCTTGGAAACTTCATCCAAAGACACCACGTCAATGGGATAAAGGAGAATTAGGCCATTTCACCCATTGAGCCTGCTCCAGCATCCAATCATGGCTAATATGTTTCTCAATCCCATTCTTTTGCCTCCTTGCTGTAACCCTTGATCCCCTTACTAGTCAAGATCATGTCTATCTCTCTTAAATACACTCAATGACTTGGCCTCCACAGCCTTCTGTGGAAATGAGTTCCACAGGTTGACTACCCTCTGGCTGAAGAAATCTCAATTCTGAAGGGTCGTCACTTCAAACTGAGGCTGAAACATCTTCTCCACATTCACTCTATCCAGGCCTTTAATATCCTGTAAGTTTCAATGAGATCATCCCCCTCATCTTCCTAACTCCATCAAGCAAGGATGTTGCCAGGGTTGGAAGGTTTGACCTGTAGGGAGAGGCTGAATAAGCTAGGGCTGGAGCATCAGAAACTGAGAGGTGACCTTATAGAGGTTTACAAAGTCATGAGGGGCATGGATAAGGTAAATAGCCTTTTCCCCAGGGTAGGGGAGTCCAAAACGACAGGTTTAAGGTGAGAGGGGAAAGATTTAAAAGAGACATAAGGGGCAACATTTTCACGCAGAGGGTGGTGTGTATACGGAATGAGCTGCCAGAGGAAGTTGTGGAGGCTGGTACAATTACAACATGTAAAAGGCATCTGGATGGATAAATGAAGCGGAAGGTTTTAGACGGATATGGGCCAAGTGCTGGCAAATGTGACTCAATTAATTTAAGATATCTGGTCGGCATGGACGAGTTGGACCGAAGGGTCTGTTTCCATGCTGTCCAGCTCTTTGACTCTATGTTGCCTCTTACTCTTTGAAAATCCAACACATACAAGCATTACCTGTGCTAACCTTGACTTATTTGAAATGGAACCCCAATCTGTATCTGAAGAGCAGAAACCTGCAAGGCTAGCAGTCAGGTGCTAGAAAGTAAGATCTAGTTTATTCAGCTGATACAGACATGGGGCTGAATGGTCTCTTTGTGTTGTAACTTTTCTATGATTCTAGCCCTTCTCTTGTAAGGCAACCAACCAATCCAGGTAACAGTCTTATAATTCTCTGAATTACTTGCAATGCATTTATATCCTTCCTTAAAGTTAGGAGACCACATTGTACTCCATTGGCTAGATCTTTGCCCACTTTTTCACTTGACCTATTTCATAGTCTTTTGTAACCTCAAGTTCTCTACACAGTTTACTTTTCTACCTTTCTTTGTGTCATCTGACATTTCAGCAACCACACCTTCATCCAAGTCGTTTATGCAAAACATTTTATATATTTAAATCATAAAAGTTTTAATTTATGTTTTAAAAAAAGGCAAACAGCAACAAAAAGCTCAGTTGGCCTAGAGAGCCCAATGACAACAATGAATCATGCATCTTCTTTGCCCACTGTAGTTCTCTGCAGCAAATGTGCCAGAGACTGCCATCCCAGAGTGGAGATCCTGAGCCACATCAGGCAATGTTTAACACCGAGTTAACTGCCATGGTTCAAGCGATCACCTTACAAAATCAAAGCCAGTTAACCATCTCAGATTTGGAAAAAAAAAACTTTTTTGGGAAGGATTCTTCCAAAAGGATAAAGGAAACTATATTAATGGCTTTATAAACTGAAAAGAAAATACTGAAGACAGAGGAACTAAGTTGCATTAAATCTTTGGATGAACTTCCAACCACAACCACACCACAAATAAGATAACTAAATAGCATCATCCAATTCATATCTTATCTAAACTCACCTGATGCTGAAGCTCTTCACAACCCTCTGGACTTAACAATACCATTGCATTCCTGGCTAGCTTGTCATGTTCTACTCTCTCTTTAAACTTCAGATTATACAAAACTCTGTTGTCTGTGGCCTATTACCTGTGCTAGCTTGCATTATGCAACACTTCAATTTTAAAATGCTCATATGTTTTAAATTTCTCCATAGCTTGACCCTTTCCCCATGGCTGAGTGTCTCCACCCCCACAGCTGTACAATATGTGTTCCTCAAACGCCAACTTCATGGCTATTCTGTAACTTGCCTGCTGCCTAAGTTCTGAAGTTCCCTTCCCCTTGTATGCTGCTTCCTTAAATCTACCTCTTTGTTCAGACCTTTCGCATCTACTTTAATATAGTATGTGGCTACATGTCAAATTTCTTTTCATCATCTTTCTGTGAAGCACCTATCGACTTTAAGGCCGCAAGGGCAATTAGGGATAGCCAATAATACTGGCCTAGCTGGTGACGTTCATGTCCTATGATTGAATTTTAAAAAGTACAAATAAAGTTGCATGCATTGCCGTTGAGATTGCCCGATATTGGAATGTGATTACACTTGTGAAAGGATACAGATGCAGATCTTTTGAGATATATATAGATTAATTCAAACGCATCTTAAATAAAAACCGAAGATACTGTAAATAATCAACAGGCTAGACAACATGGAGAGAAACAGTTAATGTTTTGGAATAAAGGCCTAGATCTTCCAGTCTCTGGGTCACCAGATGTATGATCCAAGATTTGCATCAGAACCCCCTACAAGTTTAACATATTGACTCCACAAGAATTGGCTTGAGCTTGCAATGGACAATTCCGCAGTCCCTGAGACCTTCATAAAAAAGAACTCTAAATTTGAGAAGTGTTGGAACTTCAGCTAATTTTTTTTTACAATTTCAAAGCTATACTTTATTCATAAAAAGTGTCATATACATAGTCACTAAAGGTGTTCAATTCTATGCAATCTTTGCATATTGAGAACAAATAAAAACTTAGGACATTTCTTTCTTCTACAAAACAATATTTACTTGCAGTTGAGGCCTCAGCAGGATCCAATAGCTGAACGGATCCCCATTAAACTTTGGCAGATGGTGGTCTTTCCCTGCTGCTCCTCGGCTGCAGCTGCCCCAAGCTTTAGTGCTTTAGCCATCAGCACAAAGCCCTGGACCTTGCAATGTGCCAGTCTGCATGACTCGGTCGAGGTCCGATGTCTGAAGACCAGCAGGTTTCGGGCAGACCAAGAGCGTATTTCACAGAGTTGATGGTCCTCCAGGCACATTGATGTTTGTCTCAGTATGCATCCCAGGGAACAGCCAGTCGAGCACACAGTCCTGCATCATGGAGCTGCTCGGGACAAACCTTGACAAAAAAACCACTGCATCTCTCTTCCTTTGACTTCCTTTGCAAAAGCACATTCCAGAAGGAGATGTGTGACAGTCTCTACCCCCTACTACCAACCCCCCACCCTGTAGCCACTTTGAGAGTAGCGTGTGATGGTGCAGAGAGTCCAGGCCTACATGAAGGAGCTCACAGGTAGTCCTCTTCTCCCTACCAGCCAAGCTATGTCATGGTGCTTGTTGGAAAGTTCCTGTGATGAGGCATTCTGCCAGATGATTTTGACAGTCTGCTCAGGCAACAACTCAGCAGGATCCACCCTCTCCTTTTCCCAGAGTGTCTTGAGAATGCTACGTGCTGACCACTTCCTGATGCATTTGTGGTCAAAGGTGTTTTTCTTTGCAAATTTCTCCATGAAGGACAGGTGATACGGAACAATCCAACTGTGGATAGTTACCCAGGAAATGTTAGACAAATCCTAGTCTAATGCCTAGGTAACACCAAAATTCACTCCCAATCACTCGCATTGACTCCCCACCTAACTTGACTCGCCCCTACCATCTGACGATCCACCCCCACTTATGACTTAATCTGACAGCCTTGCCCCCATTATACCTAACTATGCCTTTGACCCACTCAGCCACGTGACACCCGTTGACCCCATTAATACTGGACAAATAAACTTAACAGAGCCAGAACAACCGAAGTGGGGTGTACCATCTGCACCAAATCTATTTGTTGCTGCCTTTGTGGATTCCTGAGTCGACAGATTTCTTCTACATTGTGGATCAGGAGTTTGATCAGAAAAGACGTATCCCCATAAAGTAGACATTTCTGTAATCAGTGCTGGATATAACAGTCCCAACACTGATCTGACATTTTGGGCTAAATGTTTCTCTCTGCAGATACTTCTGACCTGCTGACTTTTTACAGCATTTATTGTTTGTATTTCTAATTAACGCTTGGTTTTTCTTGGCCCATTTTGAAACCTTGTTGTTGGTTGAAGCTTAAATCCCTTCCATTTCATTAAGATAAGTCAAACTTTTCTTTTACAGGAATAATGTGAAATCTGGTTCAGACAGCAGGGACAGTTCCCTGCATTTTAATGATGGAATTACGAAAGTCAGTGTTAGAAGTTCAGCTGGACAGCAATTGCCAAGATTTTGTCATGAATGTGGAACCAAGTATCCTGTCGAGTGCGCAAAGTTCTGTTGTGAATGTGGAGTGAGAAGGATGACCCTTTGATCATGCAGTATAAGTACATTCAAGGAAAACATGTTGATGCAATTTTCAAAGCTCATCACTCTTAAGCTTTGCACTGCTCAATGATACATTACCAGGTTTAAACAACTGTCATGAAAATTTACATAAATGCATCTTGTAATGGCACAGTACTTTAATCTCTGAATTCTGTGCTGTGCAAAGTAGAAAATGTGAAATAGTAAGATTCACTAATTTGGAGATAAATCCTCTTTTTGCTGTGTTGTTTACAATTGGCAATCAGATTATAGCAGAATTCTTGGATTTCTGTTCACTTGACTGCACTAAAATTGCAGTCAGCCTGGTGCCTTCACCATGAATCTTAGGCTGGGAGAAGGAAAGCATGTAGTCAATGAGTGTTTACTGTGTGTATTGTAGAGAAAGTTTCTCTAGTCAGGTAAAAGAACATTCAGCATCTTTTGTGTCTAGTAATTTGCATAATAATAGTTAAATGAAGAAATTAAACAATTTAATTGGGACGGGAAGGAAGAAAACTTACCCCTAGTTTTACTTGTGGCTCAGCATTGAGTTTTCATCCAAATACAACAACAAACCAGCCATTCATCGAATACATTATAAATTTGGCAAACCAATTAATAAAGAAAAATTAAAACTGAACATATAATATGAACATAACAGCTCACGAGTTAATAAGAGTTGTGAGCTTGCTCAGCAAGTATATGTAAAATCAAATCTAAGCTTTACCTCATTTATCTATTCGTTAATTTAAAACTACGAGTCACATTATTGTACAAAATGATTTAAAAAACAGCAAATTATGCAAATACAAAATTACTGGAGTTTGAAGTGTTTGTGGATGTTTTCGGTATAAAATGTATTATGTTGGTGATTGTATATAGCTTTTAGGATGATACACTACGAAATGATAAATGTTTATTTCAACTACTGACTGTTTCTAATAATCTGAAATAATTAAAACACTAGGTGGTTATACTGTTGATGAAACTACTTATAGATAGATTATTGTGACAATGCAAGACTATCATTGAAGAGCTCACCTCGTCTCCAAAGGCAAACCTAAATCACATATACTGGCATATACCAGCATGATGCTGTTGAATTACAATTCTTTTGCCTTGCAATTTTATTTGAAGCTGCTGAGTTAGCTCCTCAATTGTCTATTGTACCCGTGAACACACGTGTTTTTCACGTGTCAAGGGTGTTTCATGTGAATAATTTGTTTCTAATGAGAAAAATGAATCCAACATTAATGTTAAAACATTCAAATTTAATATACCAAAATCATAAGTATTGCTGAAAAGACAGGGCTAGTTGATATTTTCAGATTGGTCTAATTCATTAAAGTACGAGCTTTGATTCTTTGATTGACACTCGCCTCTGAATCAGAAAGTTGAGGATTCATGTGTCACTCCCAAGGTTTGAGCTTGTAATCTGGACTGATAAGTCAATGCAGTCCTTAAAATCATAAGATGTAGAAGCAGAAGTAGGCCATTAAGTCCATCAAATCCAAGAAGTGTTCCACTGTCCCAGCTGCTGTGCTATCTTTTGCATAAGACATGAAAGGGGTTCTAACATAAATTTTTGGGGATGTACTAGTTTCCAGCAATCCTGACATAGGAAGATCTAAACTGGTGAATCAAAGACCCATCTGCCTTCTCAGGTGAAGTTAGTAAGATCTCATCACTATTTGAGAATGCACAGGGAGGTTCTGCTGACATTCTGCTGAATAGCTACCCATCAGCCAAAATAATTTTCAGAAACAATAACCAGTTATTTCTCTCATTGCCGCTTTGGGGATACGGCTGTTTCCTATATTTTCTTATAAGATGACTGCATCTGAAAAGTACCGAATCATCTTTGAGCTCATTTGAAGTTTGTGGGAAGTGTTGTCGAAATTAAAGTTCTTTTGATCATTAATATGAAAATGTAAAAATAGTCACTAATATGATTTAGTAATTGCTGACACTTATTGGAAATAGCACAATAAAGTAATACTGTTTATTTTAAGAAAACTCCTTCCTTCATTTAAAACAAAGTTAACATACTTTTAAAAAGTGCCAAGGAAAGAGTTTTAAGTTTGTATGTTGGTATCACATGGAGTAATCTTGATGTCTCTTAAGCAGGGGCAGAAATTGAAACATGATAAAGCTATTTGCTCAGAAGTATCACTGCAGTTTCTCGATTGTAAGTAGAAAGTAAAGGCTCCAATATGCAAATACTGAATGTTGATTATATTTGAAAGCAGTTGTAAACTGTTGCTGATGTTATTACCTGTTAATTAACACTGTGCTCTTTCTTTCTCACTGTAAGTTGTACACTACTGCATGTTTTGAAAAATGTGAATCAATATGAGAATGGCTTTTAAATTCTTATCATACTGCTTTGTCAATTATTTTCCCATGTACTAGGAAGACGTCTGACTAGAAATAACATAAACAAAGTTCTTCTTACATTTCCTGAAGAAAGGTCCCGACCCAAAACATCAACTTTCCTGCTCCTCTGATGCTGCCTGGCCTGCTGTGTTCCTGCAGCTCCACACTGTGTTATCTCTTACTTCTTACATTAAATGATGTAATTAACACTCAAAACAAGATGTAACACTCAAAAAAAATAGGTGGGTTAAGTTTAGCTCATATTAAAATTTTAAAATCTGAAACATCACAGGAGGCATATTAGCAATTTTAATATTTCAGTGAGGCAGGCAAATGCTATCAAAAGTGCAAAGCAGCTTAAATCACTGACCAGTTGGGAGGGAGAAGAAGACATCTTCAGGAAGAAGTGCCTTTACTGCGCTTCTGTTGGCCAAGAGGTGCAGGAATATTGATTGTCAGTGTCTCCTCCCCACCACAGGAATTGGACACCTCACACTCCAGTTTACTGATAAATAGTAAGCCTTCATTTAAAGTTGTGGTTGCATTACTGAAAATCACAAATTAAATGAATCTAATTTAAGTGAAACACAGTTTCCCATTGGAATATAAAGGTTAAAGCTAAACTCCCCCTGAAGAAGTTTTAATTGACCAGGCTCCATCTGGTGGCAGATATTTGACTAACCTCTGCCATTAAATGGAGCCTAGGACTTTAGTGCAAGTTCAGGATAGCAAACAGGTGAGAGTGGACACTGACAAAAGGTAAAAGCAGAGGGCAGGAATAGGAGCCATGTTGGGGTTGGGAAGGGGTAAAATCAAGAAAGCCTGAGGACAGAGGAAGGCCAGAGAAACTGAGTGCAACAGCGAAAACATGGGGGTAATGTTTTGAGTGCAGGTAGACCACTCAAAGTCTGCCATACAACTTTAAACTGAAATTCAATAACAAACAAATATATTGGCATCTTTATTAATGATTTTAAGCAAAATAACTAACTGGGTCAACCTTTAACAGACATTTACTGTATACAAACGTCTCACACACAGATCAGTGCCTTTGCTATCTAATTTGCTTGAGTATGTGTGGGTGCATATAATAAAGATCCAAAGTAGTATGCCAATAGAATTGCTAGTTTGTCAACTATATTTTCCACTTTCCATCCAAACTATATTACTTTTAACTCATTATCTGGTGAAGTGTTTGTTTTATAATAAAAATAAGCTAAGGCAAAGTAATTATTACATACATTTACTATTTTTAACATATTTTACAAACTGATTAAACTCTGAAAAAGTTCTCAGTTCTGCTTTTTAGTATTTTGGCACATCTTGTTAATTTTTTAATTAGCTGCATATTTGTTATCTTGGAATTAAATTATCAGGTTTCCGTTGAAAAATATGGAATCTGTCATCAATGTTACACCTAAGGCATCTTTAGAATTAACATGTTTACCACTCATATTTCCATCTGGGTAACGTATAGGTGAAATATTTGTTCATAGAATTAAGGTACTTGGGGGAAAAACATAATTAGGAACCTTTTTTCTCAAAACTGTTTGGGACCTCACTGTTTCTTTAGTCTTAGCATTTTCTTCAGAGCACTATTTGCGCCTGAATTTGTTTTAGCTCTGAAATTCAGATTAACTGTAATAATTTTCAAATCCATAATATAACAAAAACTTCTCAGCAGTTGGAGCCTAAATTTATTTTGTTAAGAGGATTTGAAGAGTAGTTTTAATTAATCCTTTGAAGACCCTGGAACCCTTTCAGTCTCAAAATGGAAGTGCTTTTGAATAAACCAGGAACTGTTTGACGTGCTTATTGTGCTTTTGTTGTGTGTATATGCCTCAAACTTGCATAGTCATTAGGAACATTTTTAAAATCATTCACATGAAAAGCTGCACACCAAATCCAATTTATGTTTCCTAAATGCAAGTATCTTGCAACTTCACTCTTAAGCTTGATTGCGATTTGTAGAAGTTAGGCCCATGTGTTTTCTCTTCTAAACCAATTTTGTCCCCAGTGCCGTTTTCCTGAAAACATCTCACCTTTATTTAAAAGAGTGCTTTTAGATAATTGCTCTTCATCTTCATTACCCATAGCTATAATATTACCCTACCCTTGTCACTTAATTGATTTCTCATATTATTGCACCCTTTTCCCAAAGCAGTACCGGCTAAATGTTTTGGGATTCCTGGTTTTATCTTTCTCATCTGACTGTAAATGTAGGTTAAGGACACTCCAATTTTGTTTATCATGTGCAACGTATACTTTTAAGTTTGCAGGAGCAGCCTCAGCTCTCTGAGCTGCAAAACTGGGCATTTATATATGACAGTGTAATTCTGTTATTATTTATATGAGCAGATCTCTACCTTCTAATAATTGGCTGGGCAACACAAGTTGTAACTATATAAGGAAGGCCAATCTAATAGACTGATTTACTCCCAATCAGCTTGTTATAGTAATAGTTTAAAGTGAATGAATGGACAAGGAGATCTTGGTATACAGGTCACTAATAGTCACAGTGCAACAAGGTGCACTGTAACAAGAAAATGGAATCCTTAATTTCATACTTAGAAGTACAGAGGACAAAAATAATGCCCAGATTGTGCAACACCACACCAGTTATTTAACAATTTTGGGCTCTGCTTTATTAGAGGTATTAAAGCAATACGGGAAGATGATGGCACGGTGGTAGTGTACCTAGACTAATAATCCAGAGGCCCAGCACTCTGAGGACATTGTGTAAGATTCTGGAAATTTAGTTCAATTAATTTTTTAAAAATGGAAACAGGATTACTTGAGAAAAGTGAAATATTAAAGGGTTTGAGGTGGGGGGAGAACAGGAGACTAGGTAATTCATGAAAAACAGTGCTGTAAATAAAACAGATGAAAGACCCTGTTTCTATAATCTAGAATTCTTTGGCCAGCAAGCATTTTTATATTTTAAGTAATACGTAAGTTATACATACTTAATGGACGTGTAGGCACTTGTTTCTCAATGGTAATTTAAGTCACCAGAACAGATATTGCAAAAAGTAAAATATGGGATAAAGCTTGCCTTAGCCTGAATAAAAGCCATCACAACTACTGATATTTTCAATTCCTGAGTCTTTCCATCCTGTGCTGAATAGGATTTCTGCTCTAAATCATTAAACTAAGCCTATTTTACACAGAACCCTTTAGAGTGAACAGCAGAAGGTTATAGCCTGGATATTGGGCTATTTTGAGGCTGCTCCTAATTTAAAGATGGTTTTGCAACATTTTATCCTAGTGTATATATATATATGTTGAAAATGACTGATTTAGATATAACAAAACATAATGGATTCTTTGTGTTCAATGCTATTGATTTATTGATATTTCCCTCAAAATTGAAAAGCCAAAGTATGAGATATGAATGCAACTGAAGTGAAGGGTTATTTACATGGAGTTAGCAGAGAACAGATCTATAGCCTCACTGTATTTTTTTTAAAATTATGAGCAGTGTAGGTGCAAAGGCAATGGAGCCAGAGTCCATAGAATCTCTACAGTGTGGAAGCAGCAATTCAGCCCACTGAGTCCACACCAACCCTCCAAAGAGCATCCCCCCCCAGACCACCCACAATACCCTATCCCTGCATTTCCTGAAGGCTAATCCACCTACCCTGCACACTTTGGGCAGTTTAGATCATAGAATTCCTACAGTGTGGAAACAGGCCCTTCAGCCCAACAAGTCCACACCAACCCTCAGAGCATCCCACCCAGACCCATCCCCCTATAACCCACCTAATCTACACATCCCTGAAAACTACAGGTAATTTAGCACGGCCAATCCACCTACCCTGCACATCTTTAGACTGTGGGAGGACACCAGAACACCCAAAGGAAACCCACGCAGACACGGGGAGAATGTGCAAACTCCACATAGACAGTTTCCCAAGGCTAGAATTGAACTCGGGTCCCTGGTGCTGTGAGGTAGCAGTGCTAACCACTGAGCCACCATGCTGAGTTGAAGGAATTAGATAAAGCATAAAGATTAAGGGTAATACGAGTCTTTCGAAGGCAACAGGATCTAGTAGACCAAATACTGACAACCATGTAACAGCAGTCACTTGGTGTTGAGAAGCCAGTCTATAGTTGAAAATGTCAGGCAAAAGAAATTCAAGCCCAATCATAGCACTTCAGAAAACCCTTAGAAACATGAATGCATTTAAGATATACAATGTTCAAATGCACAGCTATGCAGAAATGTTGGCATAGTATTCCATATATTGCTGTTATGAATGTACAGCAGTCTTTGGGAATGCTTATTAGTTAGTCACCTACTAGTGCTGAAGAGTATAAAAGCTAATTATTTAAAATAAACATTTTAATTATTTTGAAATGTCTGCAGTAGGAATTTTAATATAAAAAAAATTACTATTTAATGAGGGCTTGACTCCAATGACAGCTGCCCCAAACCAGTTCTGTTGAGGTGAAATATAGAATGGTATTGAGGCAGTTGTATTCTGTCTTTGGTTTTATTTTACTCATTTCATATCCCACAAACACGATACAATGCAAAACAGAGAAACCCATGTAGCATTTGGATGTGATGAGTGTCAGATTTCTATGTTTTTGCATCTTGGAAATTCCATCATTCTTGAGATATTGCAAATTATGTTCATTGCTCATTAACTTTTTCTATTTGTTGAGTGGTCTCACTAACACCCCCGACTTTTATACAAAAGCTAATTACTGGAATAAATTTATTCCAGCATGTATTTGGGTAATCTTGTTAATTTGCAGTAAAATATACGTTTCTTCTGAAATGGTGCACAGCTCAAAGAGTTAATCTTTTCAACGTTTGTGATATACGCGCATTATTTGAAGTAACTGAAGTGTTAATATATGTATTTGTATTTTGTGGGATCAGATCTGTTCTAATAAAGTGATGTATTTGATTCTTATTGTAAAGAACCTTATAACAGACTAGAATTTGTTGTAACGAGATTTAAGATGAAGTGGGAGTTCCATAACCTTACATAAAGTGAAAATCAGAAGTCAGGAATCAGATGAAAGCTGTCTAATAAGTTAATATTTTAACTGAGCTTTATGTTTTAAAAAGACAGTGTAACAAAAACATGTTACTATGTTAAACGTATTTCCACCTATTTCCATAAACAATGTTTTCAGTGATTTTAATGTTTTATTTAAAAGTTATGTACGTAATTTTATTCTTGCAAGAATTTTTGTGAATGGAAATTATACTTACCCTTCAACTGAGTCCCATAAGCATTCCACCATATAACTGATTTCAAACCAAGCCAATTTCAAAGCAAATGTATTTCAAAATAAACATAAAAATATATATTCATTTCTTGTAATGTTTTGATCAATGTAAATGTTATTCTTCTGTCGTTAATTAAAATATGAGATAATGTACAACAATCAGGAATAAAGTGCATGCCTTAATCAAGATTACATCTATTTGTGTCTACAATTATTTTGTTATAAAGGAAGCATGCCTGCTAAATCAATGTAAGTAGCACTGGCCTTTTGCCAAAACTGATAACCAATTATACATAAATTACTATTTACTTATTCTTAAATCTGTCAAATGCACTTCTAACATTTTGCATTTAACTGACATTTTGACAAAACAGTAATGCTTGCAGTATTTAATTTGAGTTTTCCCTAAGTACCTATTGTTGGACCCCTTCTATTTCTCATTTACATGTTGATATTGCTGAAGGGTAACTAAAACCATAGCATTGTTTTCCAAATGCACACTGATGATACTGGGTGAATAGAAAAGACTTCCAGGTAAATATTGGAAAAACTATCTTCGGGCTCATCCTCACCACTAATTCTGCCCCTCTCAGCAACAACCTTTTTTTTAGACTGAACCAGATTGTAAGCAAGGGGTGGTGATGGCCTAGTGGTATTATCACTGGACTGTTAATCCAGAGACCAGACAACATTCTGGGGACCTGGGTTCGAATCCTGCCATGGCAGATGATGGCATTTGAATCCAGTGAATAATGGAATTCAGAACCTAATGATGACTGTAAATCCATTGCTTGAATGTCAGGAAAAACCCATCTGGTTCACTAATGCCCTTTAGGAAGGAAACTGTCATCCTTACCTGGTCTGGCCTACATGTGACTCCAGACCCACAGCAA